TCCTTCGTCCCCTCCCTCCTCCTCCTACTGCTCCTCCATACCGTCGACGTACCCTCTCGAGAATGCTTGGCCGTAAAGTTTATTTTCTTCCTCGTCGAGCAATGCAACCAACCGTGGCATTCGCCGCGCGCGGAATTATGCCACGCAAGTTGAACGAAAACGTTCTTGCGCCGCTCCGCCGCCGTCGAAGCCGACGCGTGCAACGCCGGCGGATGCAAATCGCGCGAGAGAGTACGAAGTTCGTTGGAATCCGCACACGGTGTACGCGCGAGAGGCAGGGAAAATCATATTTCGATTTTACGTCGGGCGCAATTTGCGTCCATAAGTCGACGCGTGATGCATCATCAAACGCGGATCGCGCGGCCTTCTTTGATGGAGGCGCGGGGCGCAAGCGCGAACGCGGGCGCGCTGCGATCCATTATAAGCCATCCATTTAATTTTAATATCGTAACAACGCTCTGACGGATGCTAATTCGACGAGACAAGTATACGTTAGAGGAGGAAGGAGCGCGTACCTCCCCCCCTCCCCCACCCCTTTCCTTCCTGTGTAAATGGCCGCGGAAAGCGGGCTGTGTCGAGAATACGTACTCGATTCACGCTCGAATGTAACGCACGCGTGAGATATTAGTGTTATCGGTACTTTGACAACTCTGCAATTTCCTTCCACCTCGGTGTTCCGCATAGTTCGGCAAACTATAACTACATTATATTGTGCGTGAATGTTGCATCGTCTGTACACGGCATGCGATATCGTGGCCCGATAGGATCGCTGCGATCAGATTAATGCGCCGTGCGCGGTGGCGTACATTTCGTCATTTCGCGTATCGCGAAATTCGCCGGCCCAACGGTCGCCCCTCCTCTCCTCGAGGAGCAGAGGAAAGATCTTGTTAATTCCCGCATAGAAATTTTCCCCGATTATTCCATACACAGCACAGATTCCGATTAGAATACTCCAAATCGTTCTGAAATAGATCGTTTCCCGCTATGATGTACGAAATGTCCAATGCTGTGGTCATAACAGTAAGGAATTTTGTGTCGAACACATTTGACATGTGCCAAACGGTCCACGGAAATTTTCGTGTTAATTTAATACAAGGTAAATATGTAAATATGAAGAGTAATGCGAATACTATGTAAGAAATTGATACAAAATTTTATAAATAATATTCATATGTTAGTCGATATTGAAATATAAGTTATTTCAACACATACACGTGTCTGAATACCGACTCGACCTGAGATCTATCGAGATAACGCAGACACGATATATGTTAAATTAACGCACGGATATGTTAAAAATTTCACGCAAAAATGTCAACAAGGACCGATTTTAGCACAAGTGCAAAATGTTCGGATGCATGTCCCTGGTGGTTGGTATTTTTACCTTACCAATTAGGGCCGGCCGGACATTTATTAACTAGTTGTCTGACAGAGCGCTGCGTTGCTGCACTGCGCTCACACGATGCGTGGAAACGTTGAGCACGCTGAGTAATTTGCACCCACGCTGCTCATTTTCTTCATTATTCTTGCTCTCCGCTAAAGCGTTTCCCCCGTTATTCACACTCGTGCTTCTTTCGCGCCCTTCTTAATGTGAGACGCGCGAGCCGTCGGACGACGGTTTCTCAGTTCCTCCTCTCGCGGAGATAGACACAAGATTTCGCGATACCCGTCAGCCACGTCTGCGCGTATACCGCCGACGGTGTACACACGCAGTATGTACACGACGAGAGGGGCTCTATTGCTGCTGCTTTTTGCACGGTGCGAACGGCACAGGCGAAGGCGCGTCCGCTGGTGCGAATGCTCCCCGGCAGACGAAGTGACTCGTTATCTTAAGAGAGTCATTTTGTCCCCTTCGCCTTTTTTTCTCTCTCTCTTTCCGTGGAAGTCCCTCTCTCGACTTTTCACTCTCTCGACTCAGCGACTCGAGTGCCATCCGCCACCGCCGCCAACCCCCGACCACAAGCCGAGGTATCGCCGGCAGACCCGACACTCTTCTCTCTTCCCTTCCCTTCCCCCCATGGGCGTTTTATTTATTATCCGAGGTTACTCCAGCGGACCGCGGCATCCGGGCAACTTTCCGCCCGAAGCTCTTCTTCGCTGTTGGCTGGCTGGCTGGCGCGATATCTGATGCGTGAAGCGCGTATTCATCGCGACGTGAAACCTCGTATACCCCGATCTCCCGCCTACATCGCATTCTTCGCAGCCGCGGACCCGGTCTTTTGACGGGAGCCCACTAATTGCAGTCCTCGCTCCTTTCAGGGGCTCCGGGGCGCGTCGGACGACCCGAGAATTTCGGTGAACGTCGATTCTCATCCCTAACCTTCGTCTCGCAGAATCTTTTGTGTCCGAGCGCATGGCGTACCCGGGCTCTCTTTTTGGTCCGTAATTTGTTCGAGGTACCACCAAGATCTCGCAGTCGACTCACCCCGCGGTGTAAATCGTTAATGGGGGGGGGGAGGGGAAGCACCGACATATAATTTTGTATTTGGGCCTAAAGTCCTGCGTTGAAGGTGTAAAATTAAAATTTATGTGCACTAATGCAAACCAGCAACGTTTCTTTATTAAAATATGTGATGATTTTATGAAAATTATTACATATTTTCTTGCAAATATCTATTTTTTTAAGGAGCTGGAGAAATGATACTTTGAGAAATCCAAAATCGACATATCCATGGGATGTTAAGAAGAAATTATCAAAGAGATAAAATGAAAGCACTGAGAAATTATACATTTCATATATTTATTATATAACCTCATGTCTTATATTTGATTTTATATATTTTTATCATGTCAAGAAGGATCCTTTGACTTTTGCTTTCCGACCATCTTAAACAATCAAATAAGAAAAACAGGGGGAAAATCAGTCATCGGTAGCTTCAACTATATTCTGTGAGATGATATTTCACGTTCGGGTATGTCGGTTTGCAAAACAACCTGAATCTAACTTTTGTTGGGTGGTTCAGTAACAGAGGATAGAGAGATTGGCACAACCCTTACAGAAATATTTCACCGTTTTCAGCCCGCGAAAACTGTTAGTTTGAGTAGTGAAAGCGTGCATTCGGCTGAACGAGTATGACCCCGTTTTTAGGATGGAAAGGGGCATTTTTCCGTAATAACGAATGGCTATAGAAGATCGCATGCGAGTACATCCGAATGGTATTAACGTACTATTAAGTATTTTTGAGTAAACATTGAGTAGTAAACACGTACAGTGCTGTGTAAACAGAGGTGTATAAAAACGTACCTTCAATTACGAGTGCAAAATACTTGTTTAACAACTCACAAACACTCACATTGTACATTTTAAACTAACAACGATTGAATGCACTCTTTACTGCTGCAGTTAATGCGACTCTTTAACGTGCATTTTTTCGTACTGAAACGAAACTGAATAAAAGAGAAACGTATTAACGTGTCGTCACTTATCAGCTGGCAAATGAATATTAAAGGCGAGCAATCTCCTCAAAAATACTCATGCATATTCGCTTGTACTCGTCATATTTCTTCGCTTAATAGACTACACGTGCCTGAGAGCGCAAGAAATGAGCACACGAATGATAAAACGGGGGCCGTATGAAGAGTAAAAACGGTGAAATATTTCCTTCGGGGAGGTCCGGAGTGATTTGAAACTGTATAAAAATAGCTCCGTCAAGTGAATTACTTACCGCTGGTTTGTAAATTTAATTTTTACGAGAAGACTGCTAAAAGCAGAGACTTCAGCGCGACGAGAAATCAAACGACGCTAATAACATATAACCGAACGCGCTCGCTAATCAAAACTGCCGCTTCAGCTGCGACTGCTGCAGACGAAGTTCACGTTCTATCCGACAGAGTTCAATATTTTACAGCCGAGAAACATGGGTATGTCAGTTTACCATACCAACGTCAGTTTTAGTGCTTTTCCTTTCTACATGATAAAGAAAATATCGGTGTACGTTTCGAGTATTATCGAGTTACGCGGAGAAATCCACGGAGACTGAGCGCAAGACGGAATGAGAGGAAACGTGCACGCCGGAAGTGCACGGCATATCGTGAATCTATGAATATCTATATATAATCTATACGTATGCAAAATATTCCCTCTCCGCGAGATGACGCGGGACGAGGAAGCGTGCACTGCAATCGGATCTCATTATTTTTCGAAATCCCGCCTCTTGAGCGACGCCGTGTATCTATTAGGTACTATCGACGTGGAGGAAGGAGGGCGTCGAGACGATTTCAATGACGCATTTAGCCGGTATTGTAGGAGATTAGTATCGAGCCGCTGCATTCGAAGCTTGCTCGCGATTTACGTTCCGGCGGCACACAATGCTGCATAGTTACGTCGTCCGCTGTTGCGTCGCGACGCGCGCGCGCGCGCCGTAAAAAGCGCCGACAGGAGAGCGATCACGAATGGATAATTATTACACGTCGCTTGATTCGTCTCGACGGCCGATGACGTGCTGGCGACTCCATTCGGCGCCATCCCGGCGCCGGGACGTCGATGCGAATTTATAAAAACGTAAACGCGCGCTCGCGAGAAGGGAGCGCGAATTTTTCGCGATTTACCCCGACATTGCGAGAGAAAGAGGGGGGGGGGGGGAAGAGGAAAGCACGTAGTATAACGCGCGTCGATCAATAATACAAAATTGCGAAAGATCGCTGAGACGCGAAATTATTTAGCGCGTCGTCTCGCGAAGTGGCAAACATCGTGGATCCGGATGGACGGGAGGAGGGAAGGCGGCAAATTGCGCTGTCGCAGGGTATTCGGCGGAGCCGCACGTTTCACCGCTGCGGTGTTAGAAGAAAAAAAAAGAGAGGAGAGAGAGAGAGAGAGAGAGAGCGGGAAAAAAGTTATCACGTCGTTGAGCGCGGATATACAACCGAGCGCGTGATATTACGCAATAGAGCCAAGGACGACGGAATTTCCAGCTTGATTTAGGACAGAGGCGGAAGGAGAGACGGCACGTTTTACGCCAGCCTTCACGACGCGTACGACGTACGCGACGACGTGTACTCACCTCGATGTTGGACCTTGTTGAACACACTGGTGATGATCTGCAGCTCAGGATTTACCTTCTCGCCGAGCTGAAACAGAAAACAGCTTTCTTTGTGTATCCGGCTAAAACGACAGCAACACCTCGAGTACACACACGTGGGCGCGGGTATGCAATCCGACAATGTCCTTCGCCCTTACCCGCGCGTTCTTCGCCGCCCTGATACGTTTTCCATCGATTTCCCATGAAAAGGGGTTGTTCGGGTGCTGCTAAGTGCACCGCATAAAGAGGTGAAGGCAAAGAGTCGTTCCGAAAGTTCTACACTGGGCACCCATTAAAGGTAACCGTAAAACCCGACTAAACCGACCGCGGACTTTAAAGTAACGATAAATAATAAAAGTTGATCCGGCCAGAGGTGCCGTCGATCAAAAGTTTCGCCGTTTCCCCGGCGTAGCGCGAAATTATTATCGTCGCCGCCGCGCCGTCCCCACGGTTTTCCGTAAATAAAAGTAAACAAGCGGATAAGAAAACGGATAGTCGGGGAGAAAGGAAAGCGAGAGAGGATGGGAAGGATCCGATCCGGAATGTGCATCCACGGAAAGGATATCCACTGGATATTCCTCCACTGGATATATATCCAGATTTATGGATCTTCGATAATTAAAACCGCCGGCAATACCACCGTGCCGCGGGAGAGCGTCTCGCGGGCATATATGTGAGTGTGTGTACGAAAGTTTCTACAAGTGAATTACGCTGACGCGCGCGATCGAAGCGTCATCATTGTTCGTTCACTTGAAATGCGACATCTTGTATGAGAGGCACTAAATTCATTGTATAGCTCTCTCTCTCTCTCTCTCTCTCTCTCTGTCATTTTTCGCCAAACATTATCGAGTATATCTAGTTGAAAGGTCAAGGTTAAATTAACTTCTGTAATTTTGTAATTATGCTATACTGCTCATGACATGGGTCTTAAAAGTTTGTTAAACGCTTGATTCAGACATCTAAAATGCCTAAAATCTTTGGTAACTCCGTAACTTTCAGGAGTCTCCGTCATTTCCGCAAATCTAAGGAATAGGACCCTGGTACGAGATAAATTATATTTCTCTTTCTCTCTCTCTCTTTCTCTTACTTTTCACCAAACATTATATCTAGTTGAGAGATCAATTTTAAATTAACTTCTGTAATTTTGTAATTATGCTGCTGCTCATGATATAGATTTTAATAATTTGTTATCGCTCGCGAGGTTCATCTAAAATATTTAAAATCTTTTGTATCATTTCTATAACTTATGAGAATACTCTGGTATGGAGTAAATTATAGAGGAAATGCAGATAATATAGAATAGTGCGATTTCTAGTTTTAATATAAGTGTCGCAATTCAGTGGGTTGCATTATTAGTTGCTGGATCCTTAACCTAACTTAACTTACAAAGCCCAGTATGAAATCGTGTGCAATGTGTTCAGTTTTAGATTTCTATCTCGCTACTTTCATCGGGTGAATTTTTAAATTTTTATTTAACGGTCAACCTTTTTTCACAGATTTTTCACATTTTTCTTTATGTATAAAAATAAGATATAACTTTAATGCAGTCTATTTTACAAATGTCATATGGTATTTCCATTATGTACGATAAAAAGGCAAAAATAGCGATATCAGGTATTATGGAATAATCCATATTATCTGCCATCTTTTGTAAGTATTGCATATTATTGTTTCTTCCTTTTAGAATGGCAAAGAAGCATGTAGATGATATCGTTAAAAAACGTAAAACGCAGAGATAAAACAAATGTAATGTTATACACATTTATATGACATTGTAACATTATTATTGTAATAGAAAGTATAAAAATATAAGTTTACAATAGATTATAAGATAATCAATATATAATATAATAATTATTATAGATTATTCGATCATTATTATTCATCTAAATAAGAGAAAAGTTACTTTTTGGCAAGATAAATAAAATATTCCATTTTATCCGATCTATTTCAAATTACCCTTCCAAAATTTTCCTTCAAAAAATTGATACAACGTTAAACTCATTATAGATAAACGAAATCGATTAGGGAAGATCATGTTATGACACTTGGCATATTTAATAGTTTTCAATTCATCTTATAAAATCCTTCGAGTATTCCATAATATCTGCACTTCTTCTACTCTACCTCCTCTCTCTTTCTCTCTCTCTCTCTCTCTCGCTCAATTGAAAAACGCACTTTACGACGATTGCGTTCGCAATGGAATTTTAAAATAGCACGCTTGTTGCAATTTTAAAGGTCTTAAGGAGAAGTCAACATTCAAGATCGCATTTCCACTCGTTGCAGGATTCATAGACCAGGATTCATCACCTCGCGCTTATCAATGAGGTGCGTGACATCTGTAAAATTATCTGACTGAAAATCGTTACTCGGAGGCAACGGCCGTCCCCGGTTTTCAATCAGTCGGCCGTCCTAATTTTTTAATTAATTGAGAATTACACGGCACGTAATCGAGATTCAGCTGCGAGACGGGTAAACATCACGAGCGCCGACGGTTTAATCTCCCTTTAAATTTGTTATAATAAAGAGACCCTAATCTTAATTATGAACTAAGAGAATTAATTTCAACGACGGCCGTCCTTAAATGTTCTTAATCCCGTCCGCCGGAGCGAACCCAGCCGAAAGGATTCGCGGTAATAGTAACTCCTTGATATTCATTTAATCGAAGGGAAGTTCATTTGTCGCTGACACGACTTCGAATTTAAGACACACATACGTAGACACACATACAAATTGACACACCGTTTACGATCGTGTTTCCCAATTTCTCCGGGAAAAATTCGTTTTCACGTGTACATTTATTCGATTCGTTCGTTGCAATCATAGCTGCGTCGACGTCCCAGGACATCGCGAAATCAATCGACTCGCGTTAAATACCATCGCCGTGCGACTAGAGTCCGTTCGATTAAATCCAATCCGCAGCTGCAGCGTACGCCGTCAGCGTGTTGCTACTTGTTTGGCAAATCAAGTGTGCACTAATTTGTAATTGTAGCTTCGTAATTTCCGCGACAGTCGGGCGATAAACAAGCTGCAACGCCTGTCCTGAGATGGTATCGATCGTCGAGGACCGTCCTTGCGGTTGCTCTCGATTGTGCTATAGCGATTACAGATAAAGGATATCGTCCAAACCGGTGGAGTCTGCCGGCAGTCGACTTCGCGTCATATTATGTGGTCCAGCACGACGAACGTTGGGAATTAACGGAACCGACTCGCTCGCTCATTCTTCTTCTCTCTCTCTCTCTCTCTCTCCCTCTATATCTATCTATCTAACCCCTCTGTCTCTCACTCTAGAGATCTCACATAGTATCCTTCGTGTCTACCGAATTTCTCCTTCCATTTGATCACGCGGAATTCCCGTCTTTTGTCACTAGATAGAGACTACTACTGACTGGCAGCCAAGGCAAACTGACGCGTGACGTAATTACGGGCTGGTAATTTCCTCGCTAGACAAGCGATAAACAACCGGCCGTGATAATCACTTGGTTATGTTGATAAAGGATAAAGGATATTTGCTTATCGAGGAGAAGCAGGAGGGTTGACGGTGCGCTATTACAAGCGGTCGATTACCATTGCTTCGAGCCTTTTACTTTCGAAACAGCGAAGTGAAATCAAGTAGCTCGACACGTGAATTTTAACGAGCTGTCGGTATTCGCAGTGCGTAATTTGCTCTCTCTCTCTCTCTCTCTCTCTCTCTCTCTATCTATCTCGATGTATCGAAAGTAAATTCGCGAAAATAAAGTCGCGGGGTTCGCGTGTTGCGAATAAACTCCCGACGGCGTTCCGACGGCGTTCCGAAACTTTTTTTTCCGATAGCTCGTGTTTTCCAGCGCGGTGCCTATGCTTCACGGGTTTTAGGTCGTAGGTCGTAGCAATTCGTTCGTCCTTTCCGAGAGAAACTTTCGGCTCCGCTCAGCTCGCGTAGCTTCTCGCTAACCCTTAAGCATTTCATAGAGGCTTTTGTCGCAACGGTAACGCGTCGTTAACCCTAATACCACGGATACAAATTTCAAACTAGTATTAGAAAGACTCTGCAAGGTCAATTTTTTCCCACTTCTACCTGGACCCTACATAGAAATGTAACGTTACATACAAACATGGACGAATCAGACGAGCCAGGTTGTCTTGTAGGGACTGTAAAGTTGCAGATCTTATTAGCATAACAAAGCATATACATTAGTACTCAGACACGAAATTCCATTCAATATTTGCCTTTTTAGGACCTGCCTACCTAGGACAACTATGGGCTTGAAGCACGTCCCGATAAAATTCTACCCGAGACATTACCGTGCAGTAAAGCTGTGATTGCAGAAATCATGGAAAATCGCAATAACAGATTACACTGTCGGACCGTGTCTGTCGAGTGACAAATTATTCGCATTATAATTCCGGCGCGCACTTCGCGACGAGCCGTCTCTATCAATCAGCGTATTCGTAATTGACGCGACGGATCCGCACGGCGTTATAGAAAAGTTCTCCTCTCTCACGCGTTAAAACGTCAGTGAAGTTCGTTTAGATCCGAGATCCTAAAAGTACCGACGGTATCTCGCGGCAGTAGCGACTCATTTGGATCTCATCCCTCAGACACCCCAGGGTATAATCCGTTTGAATTACAGTCGTCAACCCCGTTGCCTCTAGACACACCTTTACGATCTATTCGTCGGGAGATCGAGCACCTGTTAAAGGTTTCCAGAAGGATGATGCCGTAGCGTCCGCTTTGGGATTATTCGGCACAGCGCCGGAGCTTTCGGACGTGCGGCTGCTCCGTATTTGTCCAAGTTACTTTGGCCGCGTCTCATTGAAATTTATGATTCCGCGGCGCGAAATTACTTTGCGGCCGTGCTAAATGTTTCCTATTTATATGAACTTTAATTTACAACATTTAAACCCCACTCATTCGTCACGTGTGGGAACACTCTTTCCCCGTTGTAATATTGAATTTTAAATTATTTAATTCCTGCGATTATACAAGAGAAAGAGAGAGAGGGAGAGAGAGAGAGAAACTCTGTGGACTGTCACAACTAAATATGTTTGCTCGCTAAAAATAATTCAGTTATATTACCCGCGTTCCCCCCGGCTTGATTACGTGATCCTCCGTCGAAAAACAAAAACTCGAGTGTTTCGAAAACAATTCCGCGCGCTCTCGTACTTATCCGTCGTATCAATCGGACGACGAGCTAATGCTAACAGCGCACGTAGCGGCTGTAAACCTCGATGAAAAGGAAAAAAAGAGTTATTAATTATAACGACACTATTATCTCCGGCGTTATCGCGTCGGCGAGCTCTTTTCATCACACGCTCTTACGACCGTCGTGTCGCCGCGCTTCGATGCGCTCGTAAACATACCCTTAAAAATATTCAGAGCTCGCTGTCGTTTGTCGACAGCTGCGAGCTCGGTCAAAGTGCGTCGTTGCGTGTTGCAGACGCTGCGACACGTATAAGTTCTCTTCCTTTCTCTTTTTCTCTGTCAGCCTCTCTGTTATTCCGTTGCCTCTCCCTTTGGCGGTCCGCGGTTCCAAAAGCTGAGTTATTGAAAAGGGCGACAAACGGACGAGAAAGGACGTTCGCGTTGAAAGAGCGCGCGAAGCGTACGACGAAAAAGACGGAAGATCGTCGCTGAAACTTTCCAAGTTATTCCGACGGTAAATACAGTAGGGTCAGCAATACTAGCTATTGCATGTTTTACATTACGTGCACTGGTCGTCTTCCGGCGGGAGAGAAAAAGAGAGAGAGAAGGGAGAGAGAATGCGTTACGTGACGATAATTACTTTCATTTCAGATTATGATATGCGAAAAATATTCTCGCCAGGGCGAAAAATGTCGACAATGAGAACAGCCCTCGTTCGTGTTCCTTCGTGCCTTTTCAAATGGGAACGGCTGCGAAAAATCGACGCGCTCGTGACTTTCGCCATTACACGAGCGTGTGATTTTTACCGGTCGAGAGTAAAATCTTGTAAATGTTAAAACTTCTCGCATTAATTCCTGTGAGAACTTTTATAACCGAGTCCTTTCTCCCTCCAGAATGCGCGATTCATTTTTAAGTTGTAATTTTACTTATAATTAACTCGAACGCAGATGCGTCGCATTTTCAATCTATCGCAAGAATGTTACAGCGAGAGAGAAAAGTTTCATCATTAGATTATAAACGTAGACACGTATTAATTACGTAATTTGCGCAGTTTAATCATTCGTTTCTTTCTCTCTCTCTCTATCTCTCTTTTTTCGCCTCTGGAGTATTACTCTCTCAGAAGGATGCAGAAATTGCGACGGAGGAAAAAGTACGACGCATTATTTCCATCGAAGCTCGCAAATTTAGTTTGCAGACGATCTGAAAGGAACTGTTGAGGGTAGCTGTCCGCGAGCGTTGAAGCAAAATAATTGTTCCGCGATAATAATTCCGTTACCCGAAGAGGGAAAAACGCGCGGGTAAAGCGAGGTTTCGTTATATTTTCCGCATGATATTAAAATCGCATCGCTTTGATCACGGGCATCGATACAATCCGATTTGTTCTTCGTGCGTACACATATTTCGCATGTTGGATGCCGTTGCGAGATGTAAAGAAAAAAAAAAATTATATATATATATATATAATAGCAAATCCATTTATTGTAAGATGCACAATGTATAATGCGCGGTTTTGCGTGATGCGTAACTCGATACGACGAAATTTAATGTAAAATACTGCAAATATAATGTGAAAATACGAAAATATTTCAAACACATTCGTGTCTCACCCGCATGTACCAAGCCCGTGTCGGTAGTTTCGTCACGATTTATAAATCTATCGATTTATCAGTTCATGCGTTTTTCACACAACAGGCCGACCGGCGCGCAAACATCGCGATTGTCTAGGGGTTAACTGTCAGAACAACGGTTTGGCGTTTATATCGAGAAGAACGAAGAAGAATGAACCGGTGAGAGAAGACACGCGAGAGAGAGAGAGAGAGAGAGAGAGAGAGAGAGAGAAAGCGGCAAAATCGCGACGCAGATTTAGTTGGTAGAATCACAGAAGGTTTCTCTTAAAACTTTGGAATTCATTTCTGTGTTAAGCGCATCTTGGGAAAATTACCGCATGTTTGCTCGTGGTCCCTCCGACTAAAATAATTATGTTATAATAACGATAATGATAATAATGATACTACGGCGAATGGGAAATGTAGAAATCACGGACGCGGGATTTGTTGTTTGAAAAAATAACAGGGTAATATCCATTCTCGCCGGATCTGATTATAATCGATGCACGTTTGACGAACTTCACCGGTTTACCTGTTATATGTGCTCAGGTGCACACTCACACATACATACACACACACACATATATATTTGCACGTTTGTCAACATTTCGTGCGCATATTTTTCTAGCATCTCATAAATTAATAAGGAACATTAATCGATTGCCCCATTAGAAATTCGTTTATTTTTACCGCAGATATCTCTGAGTCCTGGTTAGACGCGCATATACATGTCACAGTCACCACAGGTAAAGGATTAGTAAACTCGAGAGAATCAGGGTCGGCCATTAATTTTTCGCAAAACGTGCGTTATTAGCGTGGTTGGCTAGCATCTGTCACGCGCTAACTACCCTAATCTCTGCTACACCGATTGCATTTGTAAGGGGAAGCGAAGTGCGGTCCGAAGTTGAAAGTTAGTATCACGATATGCGCCCTGTTAGGAACGGCTTGTCAAGAGTCGGGAGACGGGAAACCAGGATGGTGTTAACTGCCGACATAATTATCAATTTACGCGCAACGCTCACTCGATTAAACATTGAGATACCGGCGGATCAAGCGTGAGCGAATTCCACTTTGGCGAAATTTTCTTTTTCACGCTTCCTACCGGAGAGGCGATATTAAAACACGGCATTGATCGCGCGGCGAGACCCACGCGATTTTTAATTACGCCCTTATTAATGACGGGAGTACGAGATTTAACAGTTGTAATTTATAGCGCGGAAGTTCGCGCGCATACGAAAATCTTCACGGGCCGGGAACATTTGAAAAATGAACGAAAGTTTCGTCGAGAGAGAGTGCCCGACGAGAAATTCACTCACCTGCACCATCAACGAGATCGCCACTAGTCCTTGACTTTTGTGCTGCGCCTCGCTCATATTGTGATACAGTTCGGCGTTAAAACCGTAGACTTGTATCTGCAACAGAAAACCGCAAAGAAATTACTTCCCCGGTGGAATCGTGCCGCCAGCATAACCGTATCTCCCGCAACGCCGACAAATTTCGTCCTCGCACGAACAAATTCTCGAGTTTAGAGTTTAGATTCCGGAACGTTCCGTGCTCGAGGACGCCTCGTACCACATCGTTCCCCTCTTGTTACCCTTCGCTTCTATCTCCTCTCGAGATCGACTCGCTACAATCACGTCTCTCTCGTCGACAATCGCCGGCTTTATTGCACTTAATTAAGCACGTCGCGCCGATATTAAAATCGCCGGGAACGTGAATCCTTTTGTTTTTTCAATTTCACATTTTTTTATACACGCTCGTGATATACACACGTGCATGCACACAAGCGAAAAATCGATTTAAGATTCCACTATATGACTGGCGTTCGAAATATTCGCCGTTTCATCTCTCTCCTGTGTTTTAAATAAATATTTCACAAATATTTATCGAACACATACCTATTAAATCGCGTGTCGCCGAGAGTATATAAATCTTGCAGCAGCCTTCAGAGGCACCGAAATTCTTAACCGCATACCATACGTGGTGGCTCCTTTCCTTTGACATTTTTGCGTGCCATCTTACGTTAGAAATTTCGCATTTGATAAACGAAAATATTCCTTCGTGCTACATATTTTCCGAAACATTATGGAAGTTTTACGACAAAGCGATAACGTAACAAATATTACTTCTCTCCCCCTCTCTCTTTCTCTTCCCCGTCGTTGCAGTCGTCACGTTAGTGTGGCCGACGGGATTTAACGACAGGCAGCACGAGATATAATTCATTTCTTTAAGAAACTCGTAACGTACATAACTCGCAGGTAAGTCGCGAGACGGATCTATTGTCGACGTGCGCGCGGTCGCAGCGGCACGAGAGCGGCGTTCAGTTTATAGAGGAACGGAAAGCAAGTCGCTCGTGAAATGTATCTTGTTTTTGGGACATACATCTCGTTTCGTATCTCATTTCCCGCGAATGTCACCTGCTATATAAGTTCTGTATGCCGGATAAGGCGCGGGAAAGACACACCGACGTACGTGTGCTCTCCCCGCGAAGAAAAGGATTTCGCCGCGATCGCTTCTCTTTGCAGTATTCCCCTTCCATCTCTTCCTCTTCTCCCTTCCCTTCCTTCCCTCCCTCTTTCCCCTCTCTCCTCTCCTGCCTTCCTTTCCCGTTTTATTTTCTCCGTCTGTCCTTCGGCGTATCCATATATCTGTTTCTTTCGGCCGGTAATGGCATTGCCACGGCACTTCCGGTTGTGCCTAAGGGTATCCGAGATGCCCGCGACGCGACGAGTTCTTCTTCAAAGACGGCGGGTATGCCGCTGCAGTACGACGAATGGAGGCAAGAATATGAAGAAGGAGAGACGCGGAAATAGAGAGCGACGTGGAGCGCGTGAGAAAGATGAAGAGAGGGGAGTGGGGAGAGAGAAGAGGGATGAAGGAAGCGAGGAAGGCGCGGAGAGGAGAAGCGAGAGGATTGCCGCGAGTGAGTGTAAATCCACTGCGCCTGATCAAAGTACGACTCGCACTACTAGGAATAGGAAAGATTCTCTCTTTCTTCTCATTTTCGTGAAATTCCCTCCTCCTCCTGCTTCTCCTCCTCCCCCGTCGTCCGCCCACTCCTCCACCTTCAATACAACGTTCTCATCTTTTCTACCTTTTAGCGGGATATTTTTCTCTTGGTGGCGTTCCGTTTATCGAAGGGACCTCCACGCCGTCGCAGTGGAGCGCCGAAAAATCTTGTATTCTTTTGGACGCGTTTCCGCTTCGATCACTCAGCCACGAGGGACGACTGGTCGATATCGATGGAACGGTAATCGAATTACGCAGATGCTGTTCATTGGGGCGTCCTAATGTGCTTTACGAATTTAAAAGTAGAAGTGGATTGAAAAGTTATATCCTGCATCCGTTTTATGTAATATCGAGCGACTAATTAAGGGTACGGATAACGTGCTTTAATTTGCATGCGCGCGCGCGCGCGAATATTTATAGACGCGTAATAACATTGTGCCAGATGTTCGAATCGATCCTTCCATACGAAAGCGGCCGTCGGTGTAATATCGGTGAAAAAAGAAAACGCCAATTATTATTGTTATTGTAACGTGCGACATGCGCGTCTATTATTCGCCATTGCGATTAGCTGTCCTTCGTACTTTCTCTCGTCCAGGCGATATCGTGCCGCGCATTTTGACCCGCCGCACATCTATTATGTCGATTTGAAATAATAACTCGAGATAACTCGAAAAAAAGAGAAGAAGGAAGAGAGAGAGAGAGAGAGAGAGAGAGAGAGAGAGAGAGAGAGAGAGAGAGAGAGAGAGAGCACACAGCAACGACGAGACTGCAGAAGCGAAGTTTGCGCTCGGCGCAACTTTCCAGCGAGTTCGAAAGAAGAAATTACGTGAATTAGCAGAGCGACTTATTTCGACGTTTGATTGACGGTTTTTACATGCAAACTGAAAGTTTCAATATTTATCGCGGGTAAACAGAAGCGGGGAAGTTAGCTGCGAAAACAACAGCGTCTGGAGAATTCAGGGAGCATTCATTCGAACTTCATGAAATTTAATGCATGAATATATTTCAAGACTGCAGTCAGCTTCAAGGTAAGCGGGACGGGTGAGTAGTGCGCATTTAACCGTAACTTTTACCAACATATTCCAATTTCTAAGCGTATTCTGAGCGACCGGCGGTAACGTTATATCGCGTGCGCGGTTCCGATATACTTTTCATAACGTCGGAATTATGAATCGCGTGGTGATCGAGGCGACGCGTTCCACCGTTGTTTCCGCCCTCCGCTCGGAGTGCAAGCACGATCGTACGCTTTCTCCCCGTTGTCTCTGTGTTATTTCGAGGTCGGATAAAATTCCGCGGCTCTTAGCCGCACGATGATCTCAAAATTCGTTGTCACGGTCGAACGAGATCCTACTTGACGACCGTGCTAAGGCGCCGGTGTGTGTGTAGTTGGGCTTTCTGAAATTTGCTACGCTCCGGAAATTCGGAATTCAGCGCGGCTACACGCGAAGTGCCGAGCTGGCCTTCGCTCTCCTTCGCTTCACGTATACCATCCGATCTCCTCGTATCTCCTGCACTCCGCCTCTCATCCTGGCCCGACGCCTCTTTCCCGACCGTCTCTTCGCACTTTACCCGGCCACTTTGCCGCCACTACAGCATAATCACCACCCTGGAAGACTGTGACGAACCCGCAAACACGACCGCGCATTCGGTAAACGCATTATCCTCTTTTAAGCAGTCACCGTGTCTCGTTCGTGATTATTTAAACACGCATTCGGCGAGCTGGCTTTGCCGACGAGAAAATTATTTTGAAAAAGGGGCGATCGTTCGATTAACACTTCGCGCTCCGCCGATATAGTATCGTCGCATCGTGGGAACATTAACGTTAACAATATACATATATGTATATGATCGAAGGTAAATGTGATGAAGGAAAGCAAAAGTGAAACCTACTTAATAGCGTTAAGAAATAATCGTAAAAAATAATTGTCGAGGAAAGAGACACGATGAAACGTTACTAATGAATATTGTGGTGATAATTCTGAACGACGATAATTAAAGTACACGAAAGTGCAAAAATTTTAATCAATAGAACTACGGTACTACGCCCGATGCAAATGATTATATTATTGCATTTTCAGAAGGTATGCACAATTTCTAAAGGCCATTTATAACAGATAATACTGGATAATAAATAAATTTTATCATGTAGAGAAATTTGAAAAAGCAATATTATAAGTGAATCTGTCCTTAGGATACTTTGCACGCGAGTTAATTTATTGTTAGAACAAAACATTGTTTTCGTATATTTACCAATTTATCCTTATAGCAAAATAATTTACAGATTCAACAAAGTAATTTGGCGAATGGCAATTAGTATTCTTAACTAATCGTTTCGCTGTCCATATAGTAGCTGACAGATTTGCTGCGAGCAACATAAAATTTGCCGTGCCGGTAAATTATTCTTCTCCGTGTACGTTTGACCTTTCTCAGCCAGAAAAGAACAACTATCTTTAACCATCCGAAATAAATAAGAACAAATGCAAACGTTAAGATTTATTGTTCATAGATAAGAGGAAAGTATGAACTTTACAATCAAAAAAGCCGGATGTACTTTAATCTTAACAAGCCCTTTTATATCGGTGCTTATTTGCAGTCGAAAATGCGCAGCTAAGTATGAATCATAAGTTCAGTTTGCTCGGGTCGGACAGTGCAACAACTTCATACGGAGTACGGGCCGCAAAGTATTAAGGAAGTTATTCGACAAAGTTCTTTTCGGTATTGTGATCATATGAAGTGCTACGTTTTGCACCCCTTTCGGTGCTCACATTTATTATCGCGGAAGACAGCGACTGCTGAAAGTCTTACGGAGGGAGAACGCAACGTGCGAAATTACTTTGCGCGATAACGCACTCGACACAGTGCCAACGCTAAGCAATAATAGTAACTGATATGACAACACTAGTTAACCCATTGGCCTGGACCTACGAGGCTATCTCGTAGTTACGATGCAAGCTGCCCGACCGGACACACACGAAACTGTCTCGCCTGCAAACTTTGCCTGAATCTGATTACACAACAACCCACGTGGCTTCGGCACATTTGCCGAATAACCGTTCCTGCAAAATATCCTGAATATATGAAGCGTTTATTCCGCGGTGTCGAGCTGTGTGCGTTCGTTTCTCTTTCGATCAATCGCGAGCACGAATCAATCCGAAAATAGCGAGCGTCCTGTTCCACAAGATACATCCGTTCCTCCTAATCGGATGCAACGCTCTCGTATTCATAACGTCACGCGTATTCTTCCCGCGCCGTACCTCC